ATATATATACATATATATTCAAATTCTTTAGAAAGACCATTCATAACATATACATTAAGTATTACAGCATTGCTACAGCAGCTACTTGATTGCTCCCTCTCCATCCCAATGTTCTTATTATAGAATGCAAGGTCATACATTGCCATAAATAAATGCACTAATATAAGTAAGACCTTAAAATGAAAGTATGCGCTCAGGTTTATCTGTGTATAGGTATAAATATTTACTGTATTACAGTTTAGCGTCTCCGTAATCACACTTCGGCTGTGACCTTGTGCTGGCTCCCCTTCCGCCCTCCTTGTGCATATATAAATATAAACATTGAGCAAAGTGGAAAAGAGCAGGGTCAGAGGTTATGCCTCTATAACACAGTGACGCACCCTTCCTTCAGGGTTTACCTGCTTTCCTGCTGCCTTTGCAACTAATGTTTAACAAGGCTGCTTCAACAGTTGTGTAGTGACAGCATTACATTCTGTAAACAATATTGTAAAGTGTTCTAAACGAGAAACGTTTAAACAATTGACTCTTTATCTCGGTCAGCTGATAACTGATCGTCTAGCGGTTCATCACTTCCACTGGAGTCTGTCAACTTTAGCTGGAAGTTCTCACTGGTGCCCCTGGTGACACTATCATAGGAAGGCGGGAAGGAAGTGGAAGAGACAGTTTCTGATTTGTCTATTGGCTTCCCATAGTTTTCATTCATCATGAAGGCAATGAGGCCTTCCTTCTCTGGTGCCTCATCCTCAAGATGGCAAGTTTTTTGGCGGTATAAGAAGGAAGCTTGCTTGAGGGAGCGTTGGAAAAGGTGGCTTCTATAAGCCCTCTGGATGACAATGGCGGACACCTCTTCCTGTTTTCGCCTCAGAGTGGTGGTGATGGGTTCATAAGAAATCTTCGATGGGTTGGCCACCATGAATTTTTCCTCCATCTGTATTTTAAGGGCATCCATCTCTCCAGATTCTCCCAGCACTCTTTTGGTGAAAGCAAACAAAATATCTAAGCAATGGATCCTGTCTCCACTCACCATGGGGAGGTCCATTGCTATGAGCTTAATCTGGTTGGGTTTTGCAATGCGCAAAGGTTCTGGCAGAGCATCTGCAAAATTGGACAGGGCAGCATACTCAATAAACTGAGTAGCTTCAGGGTCAAACTTCTCCCAAGTTTCATAAAACATATCAAAGTCATCCTCACTTAGAGGCTCTGTACTCTCTTCAGTGGCAACACTGAAGTTCTCTAATATAATAGCTATGTACATGTTTACAACAATGAGAAAAGAGATGATGATGTAAGTAACAAAGAACAGAATTCCCACTGCAGGACTGCCACAGTTTCCCCTTGAGCCATTTGTGTTAGTGTAGCTGGGGTCACAATATGGTGGCCCCGTGTTCAAAATGGGGTTGAGAAGACCATCCCAGCCAGCTGACGTAGTGATTTGGAAGAGGCAAAGCATACTGTTGGCAAATGTTTCGAAGTTGAACATGTCATCAATCCCATACTCTTTTTTAACATAGGCAAAGTTGGCCATGCCAAAGATGGCATAAATAAACATGACCAGGAACAGGAGGAGTCCAATATTGAACAACGCAGGGAGGGACATCATTAAGGCAAACAAAAGAGTTCGGATTCCTTTGGCACCTCTTATAAGTCTCAGGATCCGACCAATCCGAGCCAAGCGGATGACTCGGAACAGGGTGGGGGAAAAGAAGTATTTCTGGATGATGTCAGACAGCACTGAGCCTTGGGAGAAGAGAGAGGAGGGTAAAAAATAAACATCCAGTTAGTGCACCAGAAGGATAGTGGCTGCAGAGGCATACAAGTACTCAGATTAACAAATCAGAACAATAAACTAGTTTATAAATTATCCAGGTGAAAGCTCGGTTGAGCATGCAAATAGGGATTGCGATGGACATCAGCTAAGTCCTGCCCTTTCCTTCCCATTCTATATTTACTGCATTCTTAATGTTTCCATTACGTGTGGTATATACTGTAATGATTTATGGGCTCCTTTATTGTACCAGTTGTGGTTGCTTAGACTGAAACATCAAACAAATACTATAAACAAACAAATACATAATTCTTAGTACATAAAGGCAGATCTTCCTTATTAGGCTGGCTGTGTAGCCTAGGAAATCTGACTGTGATTATAAGAGAAGACCTGCTTGCAATGGGTCCATTTTGTCCAGCATCTTCTGTCCACTGATGGTCAACAAGAAGCCTCTACAAGCAGGACTTGAAGAAGTCCTCTCCCACTCTTGTTCCATAGAATCATGATTAATGGCTTCAAGGGAACAGCTCATGAAATGAATATGTCATATTGAATATTGTTTTTATATTGTTATTTATATTACCTATTTTACTGTCAACCATCTGGAGTTGCTTCGCCATATAAAGCTGTGAATACATGTATTAAATCAGTGCTTCCCAAACCTTTTTCTTCATTACCCAAAACTCAGAGGGAAAGGAGGGCGCTGGTGGGTATGTGCCTGCAAGCAAAGGGGGGAAGGACAGTGTGGTGCCAAGCACCTGAATTTTGTTCATGTGACTGCAGGGGTGCTGCAACAGCTGGAACTGAGGACCAGTCTTAAGTCCCTTCCTTCAGCACCGCCGTAACTTTGAATAATCACTGAATTAATGGTCGTAACTCAAGGACTACCTGTATTATAAAAACAATATCACTGAATGATTTTTATGTCATTTCAACAAAATACTATTGGTAATTTCATTGATTTTCATTTTAATAGGAATACTTTGGGAGATTTTTGAATATATTTTAGCACACATGGTAAACTTTAAGTCAATTTAAATGTCCCTGTTGTGAATGGGTTCATGTGTTATTACCGAAAGAAAAACCACTTTTACCCAATTTGGGGTAATTTACCCAGGTTTGGGAAACACTGTATTAAATAAATAGAGATATTCCTCTATTTAATCAGTGGGGCATAGGGAAGTCCCTATGGACATATACTGTAGGTCAGCATGTTATAATGCATACACAAAACTGCATATGTGAGGGGCCAGCCAGAGCAGGAAGATTTCACAAATACAACAATTCTAATTTGGCCAAATGAAGTCATGACATAGTTGTAGTTCTGTGTTCAGATAACCTTTCAGTGTAGATTGGCTGCCCATCTATAAAGACACTTGTTTCAAAGATAGCCAGCACTTGCTATTGTTATCAGGGATCAAGATGGAAGAAGAGCCAACTCTTGCTGCTTTTGCATTTAAAGGCTAGAGATTCTTCAAACAGTTGAGAATTTAAAAGAATGTCCAGTTTTGATCAGACTAATGAAGGGAAAAGAAGGTGGCTGAAAAAGCTGACGTTAAATAGTGGTGAGATGATAGGTGGGAGGACCCTTGGTTTGGCATGATGATCGGTTTTCTGAATGTCCCATAATACACTTGATATACTGTATGATGGTTGCTCATTATCTTCTGGAAAATTTCCAAATTGTGCATTGTGTCTGATAGTTACAAATGGTCATCTAGATAAACCAGAGATATCCAGGGACAATCCAGAGTTTGGTCAGTATCCCCAAATACCATAAAGTATGACCAACACAGTGTAGGTCGTATATTGGTGTGAGTACTTTTGTGCTGATGGTCTAGAATCCCACCACAATAAATCTAGATAAACCATTGACATCTGCACTTGTTGGGTTTAACAGAGCACAGAGGAGTATTTTAATATGAATCAATTGAATTCAAATTCCTCCAATCTGATCAAGAAATGGGAAAACTATTTTTTTACTTTTGGCTCTTCTCTGAATTTTTTCATGCAACTTTTCAGCTAAAATACATAACAAAGATGTATATAAGAGAAAATTGAATACAAAAAAGACATAAATTAATGGCATATATTTGAGAAAAAAGTTGCAAAAATGTGTAAAATGAGTATTAACTAAAAGTACACAGATGTGAGTGAAAATTCATGCAATTTCATATGCACATTATTATTAATAATATTAATATAATGATTATAATTCTTTTGCAAGCTAATGAGAAAATGGGGCAGAATGAACACGCACATGAAAAAAAACGTGAACATTCTGAAAATGGAAACAGACAGACATGTCTAGTTTGACCTACCAACAATTGACAGAATCACGACTACAAAATCAAATATATTCCATCCATTGGTGAAATAGTAGTGCCTCAGAGCTGTCATTTTGAAAATACACTCCGCAGTGAAGATTGCAACAAAGACCATGTTGATTCTGTAAAGGATGTTCACTTTTTCTGGGCTCTGGTCATCAGTTTCCACCATCATGGTCACCATATTTAGGCATATCAGAAGCATGATGCAAACATCAAAGGCTTGATTCGAGACAACGTCAAAGATGAAAGCTTGATACTTGTTCTGGAGACATTAAGGAGATATTAGTATGTCATAGCAGCCAGGTCACACTATGGTATAACTTTGAATCTAGTCAAGTTTGAAATGAAAATGACACCTTTTGAGTTGGAATGAACTTTTCCATGGCTGAGCATACAAGAATATTTTGCACATTGTAACTATTGTAATAGTTGCTTGGACTCTGATACTGAAAGCTAGGTCAACTTTTGCTGGCCAAAGCAGTAAGCAAGCATATTAATGGACAGACTACTATATAATTTAAGAACAGCTGAAGACCATTGCTTCAGAGATGTAGACTCCTGAAGTACTCTCCTGTATTAAAAAAAAAACCTTACATTGGTAGACCTTTCAGCATTTAGCCAATCTTGGCTAATTTCCCAAAACCTAAACCAAACAGGGTTGGACTTGCTTGGTATTTGGAAGGGAGACCACCATGGATCTGGAGGCTGGACTGGAAACTAAGAAAATGTCCCATTAAAGACCAAGCTAAACCACTTTCACACTGCTATTAATATCATGGATTCACATTGGATGTGTTCCAAGAATCACCAAAAGTGGCATTTAACTGTTTGAATTCTTTCCTTTAGTACACCATTCCCATTTTGGCAGCAAACTGCAGTCAAATGAGAGACATCACATCACTAAGGGAAGAGGGAAGGCCTGCATCAGAAGCTACAAGCCCCGTTGGGTAAATGAGATACTGAACCTATGGCATTAATTCCTATGATACCCATTATAAGAAAATGGGAAAATGAGGTGTGGTTAGGACCACTGGATTTGACTGCCAGGAAAGAAGAGTACCATGTTTTATGACACACAGCCTGATCATAATTCTCTGACATTAAAGATACCACAATATTCCAATTTATTTGAACAGAACTGAGTTGCAATCATGCTAAGACACACATTCTAAATTTTTTTTTAGAATTAATGCTCGAACTGCCTGTAGAAACACCTATAAATGACAAACAAATCATATACCGTTAAAGATTTCAATGTCTTTTGCAGAAAGGAAGGGACACAATATCAAGAAAACAAGAGGTACATTCTGGGTTGCACACTCTGGATGGCCAGTTTGTACTGGCAGTAAAAAGTTGGTATTTTCTGCCACCTAGCGATCTTTGCTGCCACCTAGCGGCCAGCTGGATATTTGCAGTCCAAAGTTGGGAGTCCTAGCTTGGGAAGACTCACCAGTGGACGGGGGATAGGCTTCTGAGGTTTCTTGGATCCTAGTTTTTTCATGGCATTATAGTACTTTTTCTGCTCCTCAGTCATGAAGATGTCTTGTCCACCTAAGTACAGGGAGATACCACTAATGTTATTTTGGTTAGGAAAAAACAGCAGGGGAAAAAACCCCTTAGATATTCAGGTTTGTTACTTTTTATTGTGGTTCATGTGTTCCCAGTAACATTAATTCACTGCACGTTAATAAGGATTACAATTTGTGGTGTACTGGTTAAGGAGAAGGAGACCTAAGTTCTGGTCTCTCCAAGCCATGGTAGCTGAAGAGGAGTCACATATGGCAAGTGGGCAGCTATGTAAATAGATTTAATTAATTAATACTTTAATGAATAAAATAAACTCCCTGTGTGACCTTGGGCCAGTCCCTCTCTCTCAGCCCAACCTACGTCAAAGAGTTGTTGTGGGGAAAAATAGTAGGAGGGAATACTACATACATTGCCTTAACCTCCTGAATGAAAAGTAGGATAGAAATCTAATAAATAAATTTGATTGCAAACAAAAGGCTGTGGATTTTCCCTAGTGCATCTTAGATATATTTACTTTTGGTTGGAGGCAAAAGGAAACTGTCTTTTATCAAGTGTGACTCTTGACTGATCTACCTCAGTATTGTCCGATCTACCTGCAAAGCATGCATAGGGATGTCAGTCAGAAGGGGTCAAAAAGGTCAAGGTAGCGACTGCAACTGTGTGATCAAAGCCCCACTCTTCTTTTACATGTGTCACACATAAAAAAGGAGCAAGATTTTGATTGTGCAGTTGTGGCTGCCATATTGACTTTTTTGACATACATCTCCCCACAAGAGAGCATATGCTCTCTTGCTAAGTGTGGTTGATTTTACTTTCATTAAATTTGTTATCCACTTTTTGTTGCAAAAATAAGGCAAAATTAGTACAATATAGTGCACTACATCTTGGGTTTAAAAAAGAGAAAATGACAGCTAGAATCTTACACAGCTGTTGTATAAGATTCAAACAGAACTACTTATCTTCTTCTTTTGTTGATTGAAATTGTCAATGATGACACCAATGAAGAGATTCAAGGTGAAGAAGGAACCAAAGATGATAAAGATCACGAAGTAGAGGTACATGTACAAGTTATATTCCCATATAGGCTGCTCCTCCCTCTGCCAAGCAAAATGGGAAAGAACAGTAGAACAGAATGAACATCTGTAAGGATCTAAAACACCACCATTACTGTTTCTAAATTAAGCCATCTTTCCTCTAACCCAATTGGGCTGGATGACAATTACCATCATTCCAAACCAGTAGCTGGCTTAGCTAATAAAAATAAGGAAGCCGTTATAGCAGATCGAGTTGGGAAACCTGTTGATGTCAGATAGTAGCTAATTATTATGAAAAAGAGAGAATGGGCTTTTGCACACACCTTCAGAAAGGGGTCAGAGGAGAAGAACTAGTGTGCATAATCCTAAGGATCACCCCATACAGATTGCATTCTCCTTTGTTGTGTGATTACTACAATGCAATCCCTCAGTCTACTACCCTTCAGATATGCTAGATTTCATTTCCAGACTTCCCAACCAGCGCAACTTCTAGACAAAGACAAATTGACAAACTGAGGCACTGGGGGATGACTCTAGAAGTATCATCTGAATGAAAAGCACCCATTGTTCTCATGCAGCTCCATTCAGTCTAATGGTGATTGCTCAAGAAGAGGATCCCATAACTAGGGTTTTTGCATCACTCTTATTTATTTCAGTGAGGTCTTCACACAGGGCCAGTTTCCATGGGCAGTTGCAGGGCTCCGATATTTTAGCTGGAGCCTAGAAGTGATGTCTATTCTTAGCTTGATCTTTCATTTTTTCTCCCCCAGCCTTGTGCTCTAAACCACACTGGGCAGTTGAGCCTAAAGACTTTTTGGGTTTCCTAAAATCCCACTATTGTAGCATCATTCGGGTGACTGTGGGTGATTGAAATGGTGGTCTCCAGTCATTTAGCACTGCTTCAAACATTGCTGCCAAGCATGGGCATTTCTACTACAGATAATGAAGTCAATTAACATAACTTGATTCCCAGAAAATTGTTTAAAAAAAAACAAGTGAAAAATGGCATTTTTAAAAAAATAGTGCTTTAATTATTCCTTGCTGGCAAAAAACAGCCAGTAGTGACAGGCTGCAGTTAGTCTGCTCTTGGTTGGGAGTTGGAACTTACTAGCAAAAAACAAGCACACTGGCCTGGCAGGCCTGTTTTTTGCTGGCAAGGAAGAAATGTGCTTTCATGGTATCTGAGCATGCACAGTGATGTGACTATGCAAGCCATGCCCTGCAGCTGTGTCATGAAACAGATATGTAAAGGAAGGGAATACACAGGTCACTGCAAGACGGGACTCGCCATAAGTTGTCCCCGCTTTGCTGTGGACAATCCTGCTGCCATGTATGCCCAGTATAGTCCACCAAGACAGCTAGTTCCTCAGTTATAGGGAAATAATTTCCCCATGAGTTGCACCCATCGTTAGCAAGCAGAATGTCAGAAAAAAAGGCCAGTGGGGGAGGGAAGCAAAGCACTAGACAAAAGAAGCCCACCTCTCGTGAATCTACCGCTGCATACATAATCTGCATCCAACCTTTAAAAGTTGCCTAGGAAAAAAAGAGAGAAGAGCAGTGCATTTGATTTAGGCAGTGATAATCAGCCATGACTTCCTTACTTTGTGCTTTATCTGCAAGTTGTTGTTGGTGGTGGTGGTGAGGAAGTTTCTCAGTGCTATTAATAAAATAGCAACATGGTCCCCTGAATTCTGGCTAGCATTAAAGCCTAGAGATAGTTTCTGAGTTGGCTGTTTGAACTTTCTAATGATTGAAAACATGAGATTGTCTTGGGTGTGAGGAGGAGGAGGAGGAGGAGGAGGAGGAGACAACCCTGTGGAGCTCTCTCATTGCAGGATTTGGGGAATGAAAAACAATAAGCATTCATTCCAAGGCTTTCTTTGGGACCAATCTGGGCCAATTCTTCTGTCCCCCAATAGCCCCCACATCTCATTCTATACTGTTTTCTTGGAACACTGAGCCGTTCCTCTAAATTGGTCAATTCCCTTTCCTTGCTGGGAAGAGGGGAAATTATCTAGGTGGTAAGCTCTTGACCATGTAAGCAATGTACCTCTAGGGATTCTTTTGAGACTCACAATAAACAGCTTTATTAAAGTGGATTTAGAACACCAGAAGACAGTGAGAAACACTGGATTTTTTATTAATGATTCTCTCCTGAAATGCAGGCATGCTACAGTGTAACACTGAAGGTAAATGAATAAGAGCAATAGGTTCTATGGAACTACCAGTAAAATAATTAAAAATATTGCCTTCACTATCATGAATTTAGTAATTGTATATTTACCTCTGAGTTTCTGAGAAGGTTTCAGCCTTCTGCTCATGGACAAAAAACTGACCTCTTCTCTTCCTTACATCCCACATTAAAGGTGAAACTGTGTATTCCCAATGTATCAAGCCAAGACAGATGAATGAATAAGAATGAAGACAAATCTATCCCAATCCAGTGAGAACACACCTGGACTGATTTGTTGCAAACAAGAACAAATCACAGCATTCAACTCATAACTACTAAAAATGCAACATTCACATGCATTCCATTACTTTTGAGCCTTGGCAAAATGGGATAAATCAGAGAGTAATTATGTGTATTCCCCGGTGATCCAAACGGCCATTGTTTTGAATGAAAACAAAAAGGTCCTATACTCGAATTTAAACTTTAAACTTGAATTAACTTTTATTTAAAACATTGAATAAAAGCCAACTGAGCACATGTGAAATCCTTACACAAAAGGGTTTGTAGATGACAGATTACCTTCAGACTCAAAGTTAGGGTTAGGGTTGTCTGAGAGGAATGAAACCATGAAATGGACTCCTTTAGGATTTTTAAAATCTTTTTTTGGAAGCATTGGTAAGCTGGTAATAGAAGTGTGGGCAATTTGCATTTTTAAAAAAACTTTTTCCCTTCCTGCTTTTATAAGTTATAGTTTTAGAAGTCAATGGCTCCATAAACAAAGACAATGGAAAAACCCTAAGTACTGAAATAATGGTTAGAATTATATTCGAATTGATTATTTTAACTGTTTAACTCGGCTTTAAGTCTCTATCTGATCATTTCAAATGCTAAACCATATGATAGGAGAGAATGTGTGTAGCACATACCAGGTAACATCATTAGTGCAGGAGGTATGGGGAAATGACGTTACCCAGCATAGTAATGAAACATTTATAATCCCAAAACCTATCTCAGAGAATACAACACAACATGCTAAACTATACCTCAAATGTTAGGGCCTGGGGGAATGTCCCTACCTATTACTCATGATATGGTGGTCCAAAGGCCAATGCACTACAGGGATGTTGGCTAGGACAGAGCCAGGTTCAAGTCCATCTTCAGCCATGGATGCTCCCTGGGTGTCTTGGGGCCAGCTACTATTCCTCAGCCCAGTCTACCCCATGTTGCTGGAAATATTGGAGAAGAGTGCTATACTGGAAAATACTGAAATATTGGAGTGCTATACACACTTCTCTAAGCTATGACATAAAGGAAGGAAGGAAGGAAGGAAGGAAGGAAGGAAGGAAGGAAGGAAGGAAGGAAGGAAGGAAGGAAGGAAGGAAG